GGCCCCTATAGGGAGTTTTGACATATGAACTTTAGCACAAATTTTGACGTGCAATAATCATCTATAGGGATAAGAAGCAAATATACAGAGTTTGAACCGATTCGGGGATTTACACCTACCTAAGTCTCCTTGTAAGTTGTTATGTCCGCACTTGTTCTATATAGTTCCGCTCCGCACCAAGGACAACTTGTTCTGGTGTTTGCTAGAGCGAAAGAGAGAGGGGCAGTTCCAGAGACGGGTGTCCGTGCGTAAAGCGATTTGCGAGTGACTGGGTGACTGAGAGCAGGTGCCAGGGTTTATGTCCAAAACATTACTAGAGACGCGTCTTGAGATTGCGAGTCCCTACATGTATTGCAAGAAAACGTAGTGCCTCTCAATCGGCCGCATATCGCGATACGCACGGATATTTTTTGCGATTTTTCCTGGGACTGCCCAGAGAGAGGATAGGGCATAGAGCAAGTGAGGAAGTGAGCGAATCAGTGAAAAGGACGCGGGAGGGCTGAAGAGAGAGATCCTTCCTGGAAGAGTAAACGAGCAAGTGAAAGAGGTTGAGACGGAGAAGGGCTCCTAGACATGAAATGCCGCGCGCTTGGAGAGCAAAGCGGGCCGCATCTAGCTTTCTGCCACTTATTTCGGACGGCGGATGGGACGCGACGCACAGTGCACATAAACTTTTGTTTGAACACAGCATCAGCAAGACGAGTTCACGGGCCGGCAAAGTCATTTCGGCCCGCTGCGCCCCACCGGGGGGGGCACCGGGGCCGGGATGTCGGACAAACCGACCCCCCTTTCCCCTCTTCTCTGCGTCTCGGCTGGGCAAGGGTAGTGCAGCGCGGGCTGAGATGAGGAGGGGGGGGGGGCGTGTACTCACATCACTACACACGAGGATCATGCATTATAGAATAGGTCGGGGAATCAAAACCTGAGAGCGAAGCGAGGTAGGCAGGGCAGGCTGGCGGGCGGGCGGCGCACCAGCAAAGGATGAGAGACGTGTTGCGGTGCGTGCGTGTGCGTGTGGCGAGCCAAAGTCTTCATCGTTCGAACGAGATTTTAAAAAAAAAACCGCTCCCTCTGTTTTTGAATATTGCGTGATGCATAATTCATGAGCTTGCCTTTGGCGGGTAATGAAATCTGAAACTGAAGGCCGAAAGGCAGGTTCCATATGACGTTGGTGTAAGTAGTGTATTGTCGTGCACCTAGCCTAGCACACCGTTCAGCTATAGGGCAGGCCTATAGAACGGAATTTTAAACA